TAGAGAACGGAAACCAATATTGGGACGTACGGACGTACAGACGGACAAGGGCAAAACTTAATGCCCATAAAAAGTAAAAGTAGAATTTAAAATCATCACGTTTGTCATAGACTCTAGTTTAAATTCGTCGATATGTTTCAATATCGAGGAAAAGATCAAGATCTTCGGTAGTATCCTTAATCTCAAGTTCACTTGGATATATTAGATGTATGCACTCATTGAGACGCTAACAAGCATTTGACTAACTTCAAAACCAGTATTGCCAAAACATATTTTCATCCGCCTGATATTTAAAGCTATCGTTTTCACCTGGTCTTTCGAGTTTTCTCCAGTCCTACAAAATTGGTTGATCTATAGAAAATGCATATGTTTGAGCTCACTTGAGACATGTTTTTGATGCCTTAGATCATAACTATCCAGATCTGTTTTCTTATCGTTAATATTTATAGATTGTGTCCTCTTCCGCAATATTATATCTTGACTACGTCGTGATTTTTCAGCTGGGTGGTGCAAGGATAATAGGAACCAAGTCCGGTTGGAGTAAATGCGATTCCCTCATGTTCTTTATCTTGTTTTGTATATTGACAAAATCGTAACATCGGTAAAAGATTATTTCTTCTTATTTCTCGTGCATGTACTACAATTAAATGCATGTTTCATTCTTGTGTTTAGGCTTAGGATATTATGACTAGGTGAGAAAGTAAAACTATATACGCATTTGCCTATTTTGCAAGTTTCAAAAATATGTAACCTAATCATGATTTTCTTTCACAAAATGAATATAACATGTAATGCTACTTGCATATAAATTACAATTATTTAACAGTCATCATAAATTAAATCAAATATTAAAATGTCGTATGGTTAAGTGACTAATCTTAAATCACATTAAATTATCGTATGGTTAAGTGATTAAACTTCTATCACATTAAATTGTCGTATGGTTAAGTGATTAAACTTAAATTACATTAAATTGTCGTATGGTTAAGTGATTAAACTTAAATTACATTAAATTGCTAAACCTTTGGAGTGATGCTCCGTTTGATCCGTTTGATCCAAAGGTTGTTGTAATTTTCATTTATACATTATGACAGTCGGAGAATGGATACATTTGTATTTTGTTACAGAATTTAAAAAATGGATCGGATTTATAAAAAGAAACACTAAAAATGAACCTTTTTCTAGTTTTTTTCTATTCTCCACAGACTAACATCCAACGGAAAAACACCTGGGAAGGCGTAAGATATATGTACGATATTTGCACAATTATGTCTCCTCAAACATTCTCAAAATCAAATCCATAAAGGCCTAAAAATTGACAAAAGATACCAAAGGGATATACAAATATCATAAGTCGGAGACAAACCGTCAATACCTAGCACCACAACGAAGAAAATGCAAATATCTATCTATATTAAGGCCGTACAGTGACCTGTTAATTTTTGTGTCATTTGGTCTCTTGTGGAGAGTTGTCTCATTGGCAATCATACCACATCTTCTTTTTTATAACTACTACTAACCAATGAATTTCACGCCCCCCTTTTGTTGCCCCTCAAGAAATCCTGCTCCACATTTGGCACCAATGTTGTTGCTGATGGCAACTACATAATTGTTTATTAGTCTCAATTGCGGAAAAGACGGCTGGATCATGGCAAGAAAAATATTCCGTTTAGCGTGGACATGCACAAGCATAAAAACATACATAGATGTCATTTCTAAGAAAAAGGCAAGTTAACAAATGGAACATTGATATCATAAAATGTGTCATAAAATCTAATTTGAAGTTGTCTATCTCTTTCAATATCTAAGCAAAGTTCACGAGATATGGAGCAGCCTTTTTTGTAGTATCCTTCATTTCAAGTTTACTGGGGTATGTGAGATGCAAAAACTCATTGAAATGTGAGTTATTAAGATAAGGCGACCATTAATATATCTGATAGTTGAATTAAAGAACTTAGCAAGTGTTTTCTCTTATTTCGCTCAAATAAGTAGAGAAATGGCACAGAAATCTAAAATAATTGTTTTTCATTGTAAAAAGAAAATAGTGCACCCTTGGTAAATATCCCTGTTAATGGTTTAATTGGAAATTAATCATTCAAATACATTATTTACATGTTTGATAGTTTTACGGTCTTTATCGCGTTTCTTCGATATATATTTCATGTAATGTTTTCACCGACATTGATAACGAAAATGTGTACGACCTTGATCCGAAATTGAACAAAAATAAAGCGTGGTAAGTGTATTCAGGGTGTAAAATGAGGCATCTTACTGATACCAAATACTTAAGTACAAACAAATTAATAATAGCCAAGATAATACCTTGTCACAGAAAGTTCACAGTAAATGAAATATAGTCGGGAAGAGTATTCAACCGATGTTGAAAAGTGTAAATCAATTGTAAATGTACAAAAACAAAAGACATTAATTTTTGGAAACACATTGGCTATTTTGTCAAAATAAGCACAAAGCATTTAACCTTCTGATATAAATTCATGCGGTCATACACTCTAATATTTTTTTTTTTTTATTTTATATAATTAAAGTACATTTTACGGATATACGAAACATTCATTTGATTCCATAGTATATGAAAAAAACATATGTATATCCCAAATAATTTAGGTAAAGGTTGACGTTCATTTCAATGAAAAAACGAGACGAAAGATACCAATAGGTCGATAAAAAAACTGGCAAAAAACAAACAATGACGAGAAGAGAAATAACGTCCCACAAAACCAACTGAGGAAAATACAGACTGAGCAACGCGAACCTCACCAAAGGGGATATTCTCATGTGCTCCGGAATGGTTAGCAGATCATGCTTTACATGTGGCTCCCGTCGTATTGCTCATGTAAATACAAATTCGGAGATAAGTCTAATTTGGTGAAACCACATTCGAAGAAAAGAGGACGATATAGTGTTTACGACAATTCGAACATATCCGTCGTCATATGTGAAGCAGATATTCAATAACGTTCAACCAACTCGTGATGGCGTCCTCAAAACTTTTAAAGGAATGAATTCAGCTTTACCATTAAACTCCCTTGGTTCAATATCCTTCTTGTAAGCAGCAATCATCTATCCAGGAAATCTTTTTGGAGCAGACAATTGTGAAATATCTTATCAACTTTAAAATCTATTCTCAATATGCAGGCGCTACAGGAATGTTTATACATAAAAAATGAAATGTTACCAATTGGAAAGCTAAATTCATCTGTTTTGTGTGCTTTTTAATTGACCTGAATTCTCTATGAATGTTACTTTTGTTCTGGGGACTTCGATGGGCTAATTAGTTAATCTACAGTGATGACTAGCTAGTTGATTTTGTTTTGTCAGATTTTATTGCTTTCCCTTTTTGAATTTACTTTGAAGTGCGGTATTTTTTGTATTACACTTTTTTCTGTTACCATTTATCATATAAAAGAAATTAGACTACAAACACTGTGAGTACCACGAACCTCAACAAAAAATAGTAGTGATCTCAGGTTCTCCGGAAGGATAAGATTACTATGAACCACTCTTAGAAAGATAACTGAAATCTGTATTAAAAAACATATTTCATTTTATTTCATTTCATTTAATAAAATAATTCTTCCAAAATCCTTTAGTATATCCATTTCTATATATGAGCGTTCTCTGTATATTGTTTGAGCAAATACTTAAACAGTATGTAGAAAATTAGAAAATTTAGAAATCTCTCTCTCTTTTTATGTTGCACGTTCTAACCCAAAACACTCAGAATAAGAATGTATGACAAACGTGATAATTTCTACTTTCCAACTGTTAACTTTCCATTTTACTGTATTAACATATTCTTTAATCCATTGTTTGCATATCTCTTTTGATAGTTACTTATTATATAGAATTAATAAGCAGGGGTATAATCCGAACACAAAAACTGATCAAACAGAGTTATGAGGAAGAACGAATGAATTCGAGATTACATAATTATACAGTCATCTTCACCAATTGGATTCCCGATAGAAGTCTGTGACTCTATTCACTTGCGACGTGATTTACCAGTAAGATATCAGAAGAGTCGTATAATCTGTAAGATACCAGAATAGTCGTATAATCTGTAAGATACCAGATTAGTCGTATAATCTGTAAGATACCAGATTAGTCGTATAATCTGTAAGATACCAGAATAGTCGTATAATCTGTAAGATACCAGAATAGTCGTATAATCTGTCAGATACCAGATTAGTCGTATAATCTGTAAGATACCAGAATAGTCGTATAATCTGTAAGATATCAGAATAGTCGTATAATCTGTAAGATACCAGAATAGTCGTATAATCTGTAAGATACCAGAATAGTCGTATAATCTGTAAGATACCAGATTAGTCGTATAATCTGTAGGATACCAGAATAGTCGTATAATCTGTAGGATACCAGAATAGTGGTATAATCTGTAGGATACCAGAATAGTCGTATAATCTGTAAGATACCAGATTAGTTGTATAATCTGTTATTTTACCTATTGTGTCCTTTCCCCGATTGTGTTATTTTTCCGGAGTATAGATGGTCTCGATCTTTTTGGGGGTTCGTTTGATTCCCTCGGTGTTTGTTTGTAACCTTGATTTGTATACCTTATCGAATTATGAGATTAGAACATCGGTAGACTATATTTGACGTTATTGTGACGTTATTGTGACGTTATTTACCAAGAAGAACAGAAGATACCAAGGGGACATTCAAATCTCTAAACGACGTATAGAAACTTAGAACGACAAAAACGATAAACGACCACTAGACGAAAATTCCACAAATCATTTCATACAAAACTAAAAAAATTTAGCAACACGAGTCCCCCAAAAACCGAGAATTAACTCAAGTGCTCAAGAATGTATTTGATAATGTTCATATACAAACCAACTTAAATTTATAGTAGGTAAAATAGTCTCTAAGTGAGTGATGACATAAACATTCGAAATTTTTTGTGCATTTATACCCTTTGGATGCTTAACCAGAGTCAAAAAGTGCAATTTCACAGAAACATAAAATATATATTTTATTCATGATTAATTTGGAAGAAAGAAACCCATAAATAATTTGATGTTCATATACTGTAGTTAAACTTTTCAAAATGCAAAAGTTAAGAATATAAGTTGTATTGTGGTTTATTTAAGTACTAGCAGTCCAGAATATAACATTCTTCTTTAACTGATTATGTGGAACATGCATAACAGGAGACGTGTACCCTGTAGACGCACCGGTCTCGTTTCTTTTGGAGTCCATGTGATTCCTTAAGGTTTTGTCTAAAACACTGATTTGTCTCTTTTTAATAGATTTACGAGGGTGGTCAATGTATGGTAGAAAGGTACTGAGCTAAGCACCCGGACCCGGTACATTTGACGTTCATTTACTTTTTCTAGATTTTTGGATCTCTGTATGTATACGCATAATGGATTGAAAAGGCCAATATAAAACTTTCAACAACGAGCAAAACCCATACCATATTGAAAGCTATAAAGGGTCAAAATGTGAAACAATTCAAACATGAAAACGAACGACCTGATCTATATACATTTAAGGTACACTTTATGTACCGCATTGTCAATAATTTTATGTGACATTATATATAATACATAAGAAGTCTGTTGAAAACCCTGTATCTATTAATCATGTCTGTCCCCACTACTGTTACGTGGATCTTGTCACATTCTATAACATTATAAATACAATTTAATTGAATACTAGTTACATAACCTGCTTGAGATTTCAGGTATTTAAATTGCTGACATTCCTGTTCTGTTCTTTGTTTGGTTTGATTAAGATGGTTTACACACAGTAGCACATTACTCGGATTGTCTGTTACTAGGACGGTCATTGTTAATTCTACTTTTATCGTACCGTTCTTTGTGCATTCAATTTGGGATCTATCATTTTCAAGATTAAATAAACTTTCGGATTTTTCTTTACTTTTCTCCCAAATCATGGCATTTTGCATTTTTGGATCAACGTTTTCAAGACTATCCTTCACGTCTAGATGAAATGAACCTTTATTATGTTTTTCATTTTCACAAAACGTATCCAATGTTCCCATGATAAATAGCAAAAACAGTGCTATGATCCTCATTAAATTCGGAATATCTTGGAAGTTTATATATCATATATCACAGTTTTCACATTTACAATCTTCTCAGAATAATCAAGTAAATACTGTGTCGTATATTATCCCATTTCACTTCTGTATTATACCTGCAAGACATTTTCATATTAAGTACAATTTATAGCAACTCAATAATGTCATTGTGTAGACTTTCTATGAATGTGCAGATTTCAGTATGGATAAATGAAATGATATTTGAGGTTTACTTAAATGCCATTCTTTTACAACATAATATTCCCATATCATTTTGCCATTATTCAAACGATGTTTATTGTCATTACAACTTCACAGCAAAAGATGACTATCATAGATGATTTTTTAGTAAATATATAGTTACGGTGATGTGGTATGATTTCCAATGATACCACTGTCAATCAGATATCAAATGACGTGGACATAAAAGAAAGTCGAAAGATACCATCGGGAAATTCAAACTCAGTTATCGAACACAAACTGACAACGACAGGGCAAAAAACTGACAACGATCAAAACAGCAGTATACAAAACACCACATAGAAATACTGGGCAACACTAATCCCAACAATAAACGGGGTTGATCTCAGGCGCTCCGGAAGGGTAAGCTAATCCAGCCCCATATAATATGAAACATATAATTTAAGTATTTATATGTCACTGTAGAACCTTCAACAATAAGCAAAGTCTACACGAAAAAAAATATAAAACAATTTAAACAAAAACACAATTTATTTACAAAACAGTATAAACGAAAAAAAAAATGATAGATCAATGACAACCACAAGCTCCTGACATGGAAAAGGTACAAATAGAGTGTAAAGGGTTAAACATGTTAGCTGAACCCTCCCCTAACGTGGGAAAGTAGAGTGTAAAGGGTAAAACATGTTAGCTAGGGCTGAACCCTCCCCTAACGTGGGAAAGTAGAGTGTAAAGGGTTAAACATGTTAGCTAGGGCTGAACCCTCCCCTAACGTGGGAAAGAAGAGTGTAAAGGGTTAAACATGTTAGCTAGGGCTGAACCCTCCCCTAACGTGGGAAAGTAGAGTGTAAAGGGTTAAACATGTTAGCTAGGGCTGAACCCTCCCCTAACGTGGGAAAGTAGAGTGTAAAGGGTTAAACATGTTAGCTAGCGCTGAACCCTCCCCTAACGTGGGAAAGTAGAGTGTAAAGGGTCAAACATGTTAGCTAGGGCTGAACCCTCCACTAACGTGGGAAAGTAGAGTGTAAAGGGTCAAACATGTTAGCTAGCGCTGAACCCTCCCCTAACGTGGGAAAGTGGAGTGTAAAGGGTTAAACATGTTAGCTAGCGCTGAACCCTCCCCTAACGTGGGAAAGTAGAGTGTAAAGGGTTAAACATGTTAGCTAGGGCTGAACCCTCCCCTAACGTGAGAAAGTAGAGTGTAAAGGGTTAAACATGTTAGCTATCGCTGAACCCTCCCCTAACGTGGGAAAGTAGAGTGTAAAGGGTTAAACATGTTAGCTATTGCTGAACACTCCCCTAACGTGGGAAAGTGGTGTGTAAAGGGTTAAACATGTTAGCTATTGCTGAACCCTCCCCTAACGTGGGAAAGTGGTGTGTAAAGGGTTAAACATGTTAGCTAGGGCTGAACCCTCCCCTACCGTGAGAAAGTAGAGTGTAAAGGGTTAAACATGTTAGCTAGGGCTGAACCCTCCCCTAACGTGGGAAAGTAGAGTGTAAAGGGTTAAACATGTTAGCTAGGGCTGAACCCCCCCCCCCCTAACGTGGGAAAGTGGTGTGTAAAGGGTTAAACATGTTAGCTAGGGCTGAACCCTCCCCTAACGTGGGAAAGTGGTGTGTAAAGGGTTAAACATGTTAGCTAGGGCTGAACCCTCCCCTAACGTGGGAAAGTAGAGTGTAAAGGGTCAAACATGTTAGCTAGCGCTGAACCCTCCCCTAACGTGGGAAAGTGGAGTGTAAAGGGTTAAACATGTTAGCTAGCGCTGAACCCTCCCCTAACGTGGGAAAGTAGAGTGTAAAGGGTTAAACATGTTAGCTAGGGCTGAACCCTCCCCTAACGTGAGAAAGTAGAGTGTAAAGGGTTAAACATGTTAGCTATCGCTGAACCCTCCCCTAACGTGGGAAAGTAGAGTGTAAAGGGTTAAACATGTTAGCTATTGCTGAACCCTCCCCTAACGTGGGAAAGTGGTGTGTAAAGGGTTAAACATGTTAGCTATTGCTGAACCCTCCCCTAACGTGGGAAAGTGGTGTGTAAAGGGTTAAACATGTTAGCTAGGGCTGAACCCTCCCCTACCGTGAGAAAGTAGAGTGTAAAGGGTTAAACATGTTAGCTAGGGCTGAACCCTCCCCTTACGTGGGAAAGTAGAGTGTAAAGGGTTAAACATGTTAGCTAGGGCTGAACCCCCCCTAACGTGGGAAAGTGGTGTGTAAAGGGTTAAACATGTTAGCTAGGGCTGAACCCTCCCCTAACGTGGGAAAGTGGTGTGTAAAGGGTTAAACATGTTAGCTAGGGCTGAACCCTCCCCTAACGTGGGAAAGTAGAGTGTAAAGGGTTAAACATGTTAGCTAGGGCTGAACCCTCCCCTAACGTGGGAAAGTAGAGTGTAAAGGGTTAAACATGTTAGCTGAACCCTCCCCTAACGTGAGAAAGTAGAGTGTAAAGGGTTAAACATGTTAGCTAGGGCTGAACCCTCCCCTAACGTGGGAAAGTGGTGTGTAAAGGGTTAAACATGTTAGCTAGGGCTGAACCCTCCCCTAACGTGGGAAAGTAGAGTCTAAAGGGTAAAACATGTTAGCTAGCGCTGAACCCTCCCCTAACGTGGGAAAGTAGAGTGTAAAGGGTAAAACATGTTAGCTAGCGCTGAACCCTCCCCTAACGTGGGAAAGTAGAGTGTAAAGGGTAAAACATGTTAGCTAGCGCTGAACCCTCCCCTAACGTGGGAAAGTAGAGTGTAAAGGGTTAAACATGTTAGCTGAACCCTCCTCTAACGTAGGAAAGTGGTGTAACAGCACCTAGCGCTGAACCCTCCCCTAACGTGGGAAAGTGGTGTAACAGCACCTAGCGCTGAACCCTCCCCTAACGTGGGAAAGTGGTGTAACAGCACTAGAGAAGTAAAAACAAACTGTAGAAAGCTGAACCCTCCCCTAACGTGGGAAAGTGGTGTGTAAAGGGTTAAACATGTTAGCTATCGCTGAACCCTCCCCTAACGTGGGAAAGTGGTGTGTAAAGGGTTAAACATGTTAGCTAGGGCTGAACCCTCCCCTAACGTGGGAAAGTAGAGTGTAAAGGGTTAAACATGTTAGCTAGGGCTGAACCCCCCCCTAACGTGGGAAAGTGGTGTGTAAAGGGTTAAACATGTTAGCTAGGGCTGAACCCTCCCCTAACGTGGGAAAGTGGTGTGTAAAGGGTTAAACATGTTAGCTAGGGCTGAACCCTCCCCTAACGTGGGAAAGTAGAGTGTAAAGGGTTAAACATGTTAGCTAGCGCTGAACCCTCCCCTAACGTGGGAAAGTAGAGTGTAAAGGGTTAAACATGTTAGCTGAACCCTCCCCTAACGTGGGAAAGTAGAGTGTAAAGGGTTAAACATGTTAGCTAGGGCTGAACCCCCCCCTAACGTGGGAAAGTAGAGTGTAAAGGGTTAAACATGTTAGCTAGGGCTGAACCCTCCCCTAACGTGGGAAAGTAGAGTGTAAAGGGTTAAACATGTTAGCTAGCGCTGAACCCTCCCCTAACGTGAGAAAGTAGAGTGTAAAGGGTTAAACATGTTAGCTATCGCTGAACCCTCCCCTAACGTGGGAAAGTAGAGTGTAAAGGGTCAAACATGTTAGCTAGCGCTGAACCCTCCCCTAACGTGGGAAAGTAGTGTGTAAAGGGTTAAACATGTTAGCTAGCGCTGAACCCTCCCCTAACGTGGGAAAGTGGTGTGTAAAGGGTTAAACATGTTAGCTGAACCCTCCCCTAACGTGGGAAAGTAGAGTGTAAAGGGTTAAACATGTTAGCTAGGGCTGAACCCTCCCCTAACGTGAGAAAGTAGAGTGTAAAGGGTTAAACATGTTAGCTAGGGCTGAACCCTCCCCTAACGTGGGAAAGTAGAGTGTAAAGGGTTAAACATGTTAGCTATCGCTGAACCCTCCCCTAACGTGGGAAAGTAGAGTGTAAAGGGTAAAACATGTTAGCTAGCGCTGAACCCTCCCCTAACGTGGGAAAGTAGAGTGTAAAGGGTCAAACATGTTAGCTAGCGCTGAACCCTCCCCTAACGTGGGAAAGTGGTGTGTAAAGGGTTAAACATGTTAGCTGAACCCTCCCCTAACGTGGGAAAGTAGAGTGTAAAGGGTAAAACATGTTAGCTAGGGCTGAACCCTCCCCTAACGTGGGAAAGTAGAGTGTAAAGGGTTAAACATGTTAGCTAGGGCTGAACCCTCCCCTAACGTGGGAAAGTAGAGTGTAAAGGGTTAAACATGTTAGCTAGCGCTGAACCCTCCCCTAACGTGGGAAAGTAGAGTGTAAAGGGTTAAACATGTTAGCTGAACCCTCCCCTAACGTGGGAAAGTAGAGTGTAAAGGGTTAAACATGTTAGCTAGGGCTGAACCCTCCCCTAACGTGGGAAAGTAGAGTGTAAAGGGTTAAACATGTTAGCTATCGCTGAACCCTCCCCTAACGTGGGAAAGTGGTGTGTAAAGGGTTAAACATGTTAGCTAGCGCTGAACCCTCCACTAACGTGGGAAAGAAGAGTGTAAAGGGTTAAACATGTTAGCTAGGGCTGAACCCTCCCCTAACGTGGGAAAGTAGAGTGTAAAGGGTTAAACATGTTAGCTAGGGCTGAACCCTCCCCTAACGTGGGAAAGTAGAGTGTAAAGGGTTAAACATGTTAGCTGAACCCTCCCCTAACGTGGGAAAGTAGAGTGTAAAGGGTTAAACATGTTAGCTAGCGCTGAACCTTCCCCTAACGTGGGAAAGTAGAGTGTAAAGGGTTAAACATGTTAGCTAAGGCTGAACCCTCCCCTAACGTGAGAAAGTAGAGTGTAAAGGGTTAAACATGTTAGCTGAACCCTCCCTTAACGTGGGAAAGTGGTGTGTAAAGGGTTAAACATGTTAGCTAGCGCTGAACCCTCCCCTAACGTGGGAAAGTAGAGTGTAAAGGGTTAAACATGTTAGCTGAACCCTCCCCTAACGTGGGAAAGTGGTGTGTAAAGGGTTAAACATGTTAGCTAGCGCTGAACCCTCCCCTAACGTGGGAAAGTAGAGTGTAAAGGGTTAAACATGTTAGCTAGCGCTGAACCCTCCCCTAACGTGGGAAAGTAGAGTGTAAAGGGTTAAACATGTTAGCTAGCGCTGAACCCTCCCCTAACGTGGGAAAGTGGTGTGTAAAGGGTTAAACATGTTAGCTAGCGCTGAACCCTCCCCTAACGTGGGAAAGTAGAGTGTAAAGGGTTAAACATGTTAGCTGAACCCTCCCCTAACGTGGGAAAGTGGTGTGTAAAGGGTTAAACATGTTAGCTAGCGCTGAACCCTCCCCTAACGTGGGAAAGTAGAGTGTAAAGGGTTAAACATGTTAGCTAGCGCTGAACCCTCCCCTAACGTGGGAAAGTAGAGTGTAAAGGGTTAAACATGTTAGCTGAACCCTCCCCTAACGTGGGAAAGTGGTGTGTAAAGGGTTAAACATGTTAGCTAGCACTGAACCCTCCCCTAACGTGGGAAAGTAGAGTGTAAAGGGTTAAACATGTTAGTTAGCGCTGAACCCTCCCCTAACGTGGGAAAGTAGAGTGTAAAGGGTTAAACATGTTAGCTGAACCCTCCCCTAACGTGGGAAAGTAGAGTGTAAAGGGTTAAACATGTTAGCTAGCGCTGAACCCTCCCCTAACGTGGGAAAGTAGAGTGTAAAGGGTCAAACATGTTAGCTAGGGCTGAACCCTCCACTAACGTGGGAAAGTAGAGTGTAAAGGGTTAAACATGTTAGCTAGCGCTGAACCCTCCCCTAACGTGGGAAAGTAGAGTGTAAAGGGTCAAACATGTTAGCTAGCGCTGAACCCTCCCCTAACGTGAGAAAGTAGAGTGTAAAGGGTTAAACATGTTAGCTAGGGCTGAACCCTCCCCTAACGTGGGAAAGTAGAGTGTAAAGGGTTAAACATGTTAGCTAGGGCTGAACCCTCCCCTAACGTGGGAAAGTAGAGTGTAAAGGGTTAAACATGTTAGCTAGCGCTGAACCCTCCCCTAACGTGGGAAAGTAGAGTGTAAAGGGTTAAACATGTTAGCTGAACCCTCCCCTAACGTGAGAAAGTGGTGTAACAGCACTAGATAAGTAAACTGTAGAAATCTACTGAAAAGGGCTACCATGTTAGCTAGCGCTGAACCCTCCCCTAACGTGGGAAAGTGGTGTAACAGCACTAGATAAGTAAACTGTAGAAATCTACTGAAAAGGGCTACCATGTTAGCTAGCGCTGAACCCTCCCCTAACGTGGGAAAGTGGTGTAACAGCACTAGATAAGTAAACTGTAGAAATCTACTGAAAAGGGCTACCATGTTAGCTAGCGCTGAACCCTCCCCTAACGTGGGAAAGTGGTGTAACAGCACTAGAGAAGTAAATAAAAACTGTAAAAATCTACTGAAAACGGCTACCATGTTAGCTAGGGCTGAACCCTCCCCTAACGTGGGAAAGTGGTGTAACAGCACTAGATAAGTAAAAACAAACTGTAGAAAGCTGAACCCTCCCCTAACTTGGGAAAGTGGTGTAACAGCACTAGATAAGTAAAAACAAACTGTAGAAAGCTGAACCCTCCCCTAACGTGGGAAAGTGGTGTAACAGCACTAGATAAGTAAAAACAAACTGTAGAAATCTACTGAAAACGGCTTGACTAATATAATCGATATACAAAGCACAAAACAACTTACAAAAGAACTCTAGACTCAAAGTACCGATTTAAGTCACAGCTTGAAGCACTTGATATAAGAAGATTATGTAGAGTAATAAATGCAGTGGTTTGGGGTGCATGTCAATCGGACTGTACCGCGACGACAAAACAAAAGACACAAACTTTCGATTGACAGTAGTGTAGAAACTAGTGAACGAAATTTACAATATATTCAATGACAAATTCCAAAAAGGAAAAAAACATAAGTGTATAAAAAAGAGGATTGCTTACAAAATTCCTGACATGGGTAAGTGGAGGGATAAATGGAGTAGATGTTATAGACATGAACATTTTTCAATATGCAGAATAAATTTTTCGGAGAACTAAGGACTTTCTTGTACAGAAATAAATTTACTGTAATTGTATTTGGTAAAACCTTTTGGACGTTTGGGTCTTCATTGCTTTTCAACTTCGTGCTTTATATGGCCTTTTTAACTTTTATGATTCGAGCATCACTGATGAGTCTTTTGTAGACAAAACGCGCATCAGGCGTATTATTTTAATCATGGTATCTATGATGAGATTATTTGTGAATTATTTGTGGAATTCCTATATATCTTTTTATATTTAGTAGACTCTAAAACCAAACAACCAGTTTATATCCCAACTTTACATGTTGTTTTGGTTTTTTTTTTAAACAAACCAGTTCATAAAAAGCCTTATCATAAGATTGATACTCAGCATACGTTTCCAAGAAATGAATTTCAATTTCCTTTTTGAAAAAAATGGCACACCGGTGACGATCTCGGGTTGAAGGTTTCATATCCTTATTCAGTTAAATCAAAAAAAGTTTCAATTCAGAAGTTTTAAAACTATATACGCATTTATCATGTATAACGTACCTTGTTATGATTTGAGATGATACGACTGGCCACAGTTGAACCAATCAAAAGCCCCAGATATGCCTATTATAATGGTCACATGACCTTCATTGTTGCTTTAAGAAGTTGGGTCAAACTGGGATCAGCTGTCAGATCGAAAAAAGGTCGGCATTGTGAATTCTACAACGAAAAGGTGGCTATAAAAATATAAACAACTTTTTTATTATTTGTTATTGGATTTAAACTACCTTTTAGGAACTGCTAGTACCCATAGATCTGTACTTTGTGTCATACGTGTTTTTGTGAGATGTTTTTGTACTTTGTATCTATCTGACGAGTTAAGCCTTTTTCGATTGATTTTAAATTTTTTTTTATGTTATTGTGTTACACTTCTGTTCCAAGTTAGGGCAGGGTTGGCCATGCGCAAACATGTTTAATGCCTGTTCATTATGTATGTTCCTGTTCCAAGTTAAGAGCCTGTAATGCTATGGTTGTCGTGTGTTGCTGTGTATTATATTTGTATTCGGTTATTGTTTTGTTCATGAATCAGGCTGTTAGTTTTCTCGTTTGAATTGTTTTACATTTGTTATTTTGGGGCCTTTGATAGCTGACTATTCGGTATGGGTTTTGGTCATTATTGAAGGCCTTATGGTGAACTATAATTGCTAACTAAATTGTTCTGTTGTGTAGAGTTTTCTCAGTTCTCATTTGCAATCATACCACATCATTTTATTTTTTACATAGAGAAATTGACACGAGTCCTAAAAATATTGAACAGAAACTATGTAGTATCTGAAATCTCAAAAAAATCTAAAATACCTAACATACTATTATTGAGATTTATTATAGAATTATTTTACAGACAGATAAGGTCTTTCTGGATGCACTGATCGTCAATTTATTAGAAATAATATAGTCAAATAGACCAACAATTTAACAAATCGAGAAAAATAGAAAAGTGAAGGTATGACAAGTCACCGGTTAAGCCTCTTGATATCAAACATTACACAGTTTGATATCCTACAACATAGCATCTCTCCGATTTGCATTAAGCATTAGTCTATATAATATCAGTATTAATATTTTGAACTTCTTCTTACATTTTGACATTGGCGCTTCATATTTCTTGCATTAAGTAACGAAACTTTTCACAGATACCAGGCTCATATTTGTACGCCAGACTAACGTTTCTTTCACATAAGACTAATCATTGGTGCTCGGAAAAATTCTTTTCATAGGGAAAAACAAATACGAAATGTGGAGCATTGAAAACAGCGTATTCCGAACAGTTGTGCCAAATACGACTTAACCATCTATGCCTGGGGGTAGAAAAACATTAGTGTTTTGAAATAACTCAAAATGTTGTAAACAGAACATTTACAGACTTTTACCATATCATTGAAATTTCGTGTAAATACAGAAGAGCTGAGTACTAGGATTGTGATACTCTTGGGAACGAAACTTATCAAACATGAAAGGCTTATAATGTATTTCGCCTGACACGTGTTTCGTCCTCATAACACTTATCAGTAGTGCTCGAATCAAAGTTCGAAAATGACGTAACTGCAAAAATAGCCTCTCTTTGAAATGTCTTTAAAAATTTCAATAAGCAAAGGCTTTCCCAAAAAGATTTTGCAACAAGACGTAATTTACAAAGATGTTAATGTGCGTACGGCCTTGGCTGATTTATAATTTGTTGCTGACTTATATGTTAAATGTTCATTTTAGTTAAAATCTTCAATTTCGCTATGTTTATGACTTCATAGTAACATCACAAGTGGCCCTTTTGATATTTTATAAACTGTATTATTTTTCAATAAAATTACTTATTTTTGCAATAATGTCTCTTTTATTCTTCCTAGTTTTGTGGTAATATTTACTTTGTACCAACAATTATTTGCCGGTACGACAACCATAATTTAGGGATATTTATGTACTCTTTTATTAAAATAAAACAAAACAAAGAACATAGCATACACATCAATTAAGCACAAATCAATGTCACACTACTAAATGAAAATATAACGTTTCGTTCGTCCGATGAACTTTAAGGATTTACCTTCACGAATGGTAAAAACACAAATCGACCGCGAGGGATGTATAAATATGAAAAAATGGTGGGAGTTGTATGACCTTACGTTATTAAATTAAGAACTTGCATTATTAATCAATGGTACTAAAAGTCCATTTGTTGAATAATTCAGTCATAAATCATTGTTTAACGTTTACCTTTATAATGCCGAACAAAATATATATGTATTCACAGCTAATGTCATAATCTCAAATTATATTTTTAAACTCTGAAGAAATATTTAATGAAATAATTTATTGATAAAATTCCATTTTCTTACCTCAATATATTCATGTATTGTTCAAATCATTAAGCAACAGTGCTTTGAATTGTATTAAGTTCAAACACATTATTCCATTCAGTTATCTAAACTTATTTATGTGAATAATTGAGAATGAACTAGACCACATTTCCTTTACTGTTGACTGGATTAAGTGTTGTATCAGAATTATATTTAGCTGAAAATACCCACGTGCTAATTTTCTACCCTTCATCGTACTCGAAGTATGTAGGTTCAAATAATAAAGAATTTAAAATATATATTGTTAAATCAAGTGCCTACATGAAACATACGTTATACTTCGTGATTTTTATGAAATAATATCTTATTAAATATCATATACATGTACTACCCAATTCATACTGTCATAGTTTGATCTGTGAAATATAGTATTTATGTTCAATCAGATAGGAAATACGAGGCGTAATATAAAGCAAATAAAAAACTACATGCTCCAGATGTGGCAAGGTTTTTCCTAAGCAGTGTAAATTTTCAATATTCCTGCCTAAGACTAGAAACTTTATTTGTGTTTAAAAAATCATGAAAGATACCAGGCTTATAATTTTGCACGCAGGTCTCGCGTTTCGTCTTCCAAAGACTCATCAATAAAGGCAACAGTAGTATACCGGTGTTCAAAAGTCATTAATCGATTGAGAGAAAACAATTCCGGGTCATCAATGACTTTCGAATCGAAAGGCTACTAAGTAACATTTGCACATAGAGATACTAAGTCTGAATGCCCACTTATATATATTTTATCTACATTCGATAGATACTCTTGTGGTCAATAACCAACACTTAATCAAACGTTGAAACACAGATATATTAAGCAACAGTAGTTTCCTGTTAAATTAATTAGGAAGAGAAAAGTAACAAATTAATGAAATCAGATACCGGATTAACAGAAAAAAATACCAAATATAAAGCTCAACCAGACAGTGGATACAGAACTATGTAATATTGAGAAATATTCCTTAATTTCGAAGGTAATTTCCGATAGTCAATAAGCAATCACTTCTAGAAAGGCAATTTTGAATATAGAAGGGAGTGAAAAATATTGAACGAATCACGAACGAACCATCATTGAGTATCTCTGTTCATTTCTTAATCACCTGCAATCTGAAACATAAACTCAGTAATAAAAAACATTGTCAGGCTGCCTACAATCAATCTGGGCCTGGTGTACGGTAACTAGGTGAGTATCTGCCTCCTAGTTTAGTTTAAACATATTTTATTTGCTAAATATCAGCAAAATGGATAAGACAAAAGTAAATCTTTCTTATGAAGTCTTCTATTACAATATAAGTATATATATATATATATATACAATACTAACATTATGAGTATGCAATGTAAAGTGAACAAATTCATTAGATATACTACAAACTAAATAAAAAGAAGAAAAGAAAAAGGAAAGAAAAGAAAAAGAAGAAAATAACAGAACAGAAAAATAAGCAAATCATATTTTTCTGTGATGATGACTAAGGTTTTGGTAACCATGATCTTCCGTGCCAGTAGCAATAACACTTTATGAAGGTACTATAAATCTATTAGACCTTTTAATAGAATCTTGAACATGTTTGAAAATTAGGAGATTTTGTTCATTCGAAAGTTCAAATTCTGTGCAAGTTAATAGTTTAGTATCTAAAACAAAGTTTGCGGAAAACCAAATTAAGATTGTATAATTTCTCTACATGTAGTGTATTTTGGCCAAACAAACAAAAATGATTTGCATCCTCAAATTCAGACCAACACTGACTCGAAGGATCCAGTATAATGTTAGCTTTGCCTCCTAGGTCATGGTCCAAATGATTTTCATGGGACAGTACACGAACAAGTGCATTTAAAAATCAATATTCACCGGTCAGTGCAAGAACAATCAGAACCATGTGTACATTATCCAACTTTATGGATGGGGCAATTAAATATCATTATGACAATACATAAACAAGAACAATCAACCATCAACAACCAACGGACAACATACACATATGCTGACATCACGTTCGTTTGGATAATTCAGTGACAATTTATAGGTTTAAACCTCCAGTGAAGATGTTTAAGATACCGGGCTAGGCTCAGGTTATTTTATCTATCTGTTCTCTTTATATAAGATTCAATGAAGAAATTAACAGATGTGTAAAAATAAAGGCGGAAGGTATCAAAGGGAGATAAGTAAGTAAATAAGAGGAGTCGAATGGGAAATAGGGATATAAGTAAGTAAATGAGGGGAGTCGAATGGGAACTAGGGATATATAAGTAAGTAAACGAGAGGAGTCGAACGGGAAATAGGGATATGAGTAAGTAAATGAGAGGAGTGGAATGGGAAATAGGGATATAAGTAAGTAAATGAGAGGAGTGGACTGGGAAATGGGAATATGAGTCAGTAAATGAGAGGAGTCGACTGGGAAATAGGGATATGAGTCAGTAAATGAGAGGAGTCGACTGGGAAATAGGGATATGAGTAAGTAAATGAGAGGAGTCGACTGGGAAATAGGAATATGAGTAAGTAAATGAGAGGAGTCGAATGGGAAATAGGAATATGAGTAAGTAAATGAGAGGAGTCGAATGGGAAATAGGAATATGAGTAAGTAAATGAGAGGAGTCGAATGGGAAATAGGGATATGAGTAAGTAAATGAGAGGAGTCGAATGGGAAATAGGAATATGAGTAAGTAAATGAGAGGAGTCGAATGGGAAATAGGGATATAAGTAAGTAAATGAGAGGAGTCGAATGGGAAATAGGGATATAAGTAAGTAAATGAGAGGAGTCGAATGGGAAAAAGGAATATGAGTAAGTAAATGAGAGAAGTGGAATGGGAAATAGGAATATGAGTCGAATGGGATATAAATTTTTCAACTAGACTAAAAAGATATAAACAATAGCCTTAAATCAAAATAAACTACTCCAATATGGTCTTTGGATGTTGACACCACCAGGTTCATCTTGAGAAGAATATTATACCTGAGATCACCCCAAGGTTTGGTTGGGCTCCTGTTGCTCAGTCTTTAGTTTTCATTGCTGTGTTTTGTGTTCTATTGTTTGTCTGTTGTTCTTTTTCTATTTTAGCCATGGCGTAAGTAAGTAAATGAGGGGAGTCAAATGGGAAATAGGGATATAAGTAAGTAAATGAGGGGAATCGAATGGGAAATAGGGATATAAGTAAGTAAATGAGGGGAGTCGAATGGGAAATAGGGATATAAGTAAGTAAATGAGGGGAGTCGAATGGGAAATAGGGATATGAGTAAGTAAATTAGAGGAGTCGAATGGGAAATAGGGATATGAGTAAGTAAATGAGAGGAGTCGAATGGGAAATAGGGATATGAGTAAGTAAATGAGAGGAGTCGAATGGTAAATAGGAATATGAGTAAGTAAATGAGAGGAGTCGAATGGGAAATAGGGATATGAGTAAGTAAATGAGAGGAGTCGAATGGGAAATAGGGATATGAGTAAGTAAATGAGAGGAGTCGAATGGGAAATAGGAATATGAGTAAGTAAATGAGAGGAGTCGAATGGGAAATATGGATATAAGTAAGTAAATGAGAGGAGTCGAATTGGAAATATGGATATAAGTAAGTAAATGAGAGGAGTCGAATGGGAAATAGGAATATGAGTAAGTAAATGAGAGAAGTGGAATGGGAAATAGGAATATGAGTCGAATGGGAAATAAATTTTTCAACTAGACTAAAAAGATATAAACAATAGCCTTAAATCAAAATAAACTACTCCAATATGGTCTTTGGATGTTGACACCACCAGGTTCATCTTGAGAAGAATATTATACCTGAGATCACCCCAAGGTTTGGTTGGGCTCCTGTTGCTCAGTCTTTAGTTTTCAATGCTGTGTTTTGTGTTCTATTGTTTGTCTGTTGTTCTTTTTCTATTTTAGCCATGGCGTTGTCAGTTTATTTTCGACTAATGAGTTTGAATGTCCCTTTGGTATCTTTCGCCTCACTTTAATAAAATATCAACTTTAACAACAACGACAGATATATATTGCATTTTACAAACAATGTAAAATATACAAAGAGGCAATGCTCCACAATGCAGCCTTTTTGTACTGAGGCGGTGTAAAGTAAACAAAGGGGCAATGCTCCGCAATACAACCTTATTGTACTGAGGCGGTGTAAAGTTAACAACCAAACAATTAATCAATTATAAACAAAGAGGCAATCAAGAACCATAAGTCAAGGAAAACTAGTCACTAACATCTTCAAAAGGAAAGCTAAAAGAAAATCAGCCAATTTCATAACCAAAAATAACAGAGATACGACCATAGCCTAAGAAAAACGTCGTTAGAGGTCGGAAAACAGTCCACACAACAATGTTAAAGACTTAACGCTTTAACAGTTACTAGGATTGAAATCTTGTGGTTTCTTTCGTATCATCATCAGCTTATTTGTGTTATAATGCCCCGCCCATTTTACAGTTACTGTTCTGTGCAACTAAGCATTGTTAATTGGAGGACGGAAATATCGAAGTTTTTTTCATTACGTGACGTCAAATATGTTTCAGTCTTAAATTGACAATATCTATACTCATTTTGTGTGTCGCTTCTCTCCCTTCCACAATAAATTAATCATCATGCCTCTGTGTCCTATAGGTACCATGCATAGTCGCATTTGTCATCCACGCTTATGATTATTAAGTTTGGGTTATTTTGGGAAGAAAACGAAAATAAAGGCGTCCGGATATTGTTTCCGTCATCGGACGGACTTTTAGGTCATAGATAAGACTTCCGTTTAGGACTGTTTTAAAATTAAACATAATTTGCGTAAGTACCTTTGGACAGGACAATTATTTTCGCGTTTTTTTCTGTATACTATGAAAATGCATATACTATAAATAAAGTGTATTTGCTATTTACTATCAATTCCAAGTTTACTATCTACGGCGGTCACTGATATATTTTATATAGAGAGCAGTGGATAGTAAACTTGGAATCGATAGTAAATAGCAAATACACTTTACTTATAGTATATGTATGTTCATAGTATACAGAAAAACGCGAAAATAATTGAAATTAACAGAAAACAAAAAATAAGGGATTTTGGAAAAAAAGGGGAGGGCTAAAAAAAATTGGCCTGTCCCCAAGTACCTATGACTTTTGATACCTTTCCTGAAATTCTCCAGTCATAAAATCTTTTACAAAAATTCATCATACAACAGTTTACATACTTTC